TTCAAGTTTTGCGTTCTGGAACTTTCTGAAATTTGTTTTCCCCTGCATGTTTTCAATCCGTAGTTGGTGAATCCCCAGATTTGGGGCGGTGGACTGTACAACCAGACTTTATTTCTGTTTTTCTCTATTACAGAAATGCCTTATCTTTATTTCCAGAAGGTTAGTATTTAATGGTCAGTAAGCTCTAAATTTCTCAGCCTTTCAGCTTTTTCAAAGAGTTAGTGACGGAAAAACAAATGTGTAAACGCGCTGGGGGATCCCCATGATTTATAGAAGCTCTATATTAAATAATTTTGAAAAGGAAAGCCTTTTTTGGTGATAATAATATTCAGTTTTTATCTCTTGTCTGTAAAAGGCAGCCACGGGGTGGGCGTGGAGGAAGGATAAACACCACTCTCCTACTGAACACAAGACATACAAGCTTGGTTTATGCAGTAGTCACAGGTTCTAAGCGGTTGGTTTAAAAATAGCAGAATTATTAAGTATTATCAGAGAAATGCAAATCAAAACTACAATGAGGCACCACCTCACACGGGTCAGAATGGCCATCATTAAAAAATCTACAAGTAACAAATGCTAGAGAAGGCGTGGAGAAAAGGGAACCCTGCTGCACTGTTGGTGGGAATGTAAATTGGTGCAGCCACTATGGAGAACAGTATGGAGGTTCCTCAGAAAACTAAAAATACAGTTGCCATATGATCCAACAGTGCCACTTCTGGGCATATACTCCTATAATTCAAAAAGACACATGCACCCCTACGTTCATAGCAGCACTGTTTACAATGGCCAAGACATGGAAACAACCTAAATGTCTACTGACAGATGAATGGATAAAGAAGATGTGGTACATATATACAATGGAACATTACTCAGCCATAAAAAAGAATGAAATAATTTGCAGCAACATGGATGGACCTAGTGATTATCATACTAAGTGAAGTAAGTCAGAAAGAGAAAGACAGATACCGTATGACTTCACTTACACGTGGAATCTAAAATACGACACAAATGAACTTATCTACGGAACAGAGTCACAGACACAGAGAACAGACTTCTGGTTGCCGGGGGGGGGGGGAAGGATGGATTGGGAGTTTGGGATTAGCAGTTGCAAAAACTATTATATATAGAATAGGTAAACAACAAGGTCCTACTGCATAGCACACGGAACTCTAGTCAATATCCTGTGATACACCATCATGGAAAAGAATATGAAAAAGAGTGTATATATATGCATAACGGAGTCACTTTGCTGTACAGCAGAGATTAACAACACTGTAAGTCAACTCTACTTCAATAAAATAAATTTTTTTTGAAAATGAGCAGCATTAGATGGGTCACCTTGAAGCAAACACTGCTGTCTCCGATGGAGACATCCAGGCAGAGGGGCTTAAAGAGACTAACATCCGATTCCCCCCAGTAACGGAAGCCTCTTTATTCTCAGAACTGCCTCTTGAAGGGTCACCTTGTGACCCTTCATGGTCGGGGATAGAGCTCACTTTCAATAGCGTGCTTGTAGCAACCCTAACTCCGCATTCCATTTAATGTTTTGAAAGCTTTCTGTAATGGTTAGTAACATTTACATTTCATCCTTTTCCTAAAACTATTTTTAGCCTTATTTTCTCCTTCCAGAGCTTTTGTGCTGCTCTTCCAACACCCCTTCTCAGAGGTATTACAATTGGCCTTAGAGACGGCAGTGCTCCCTTTTGTTCTGCCCAGTTGGTTTGGTAGGTTGTGCCTGCACATTTGAGAGCAGCATGTTTCCTTTTTCAGTATCTAAACAATAATGTGACCACATCGCGGCATTTTTAGTCACATCATCGACCTCTGCTGGCAGTGTATCCCCCTCCAACGCTTGAATGCATTAATGTCAGTGTCAGCAGCATTTTAATTTAATTAGAGCAGTGGTTATAATCCTTTTGGGGAAATCGTTATTCCCCTCTGTGATGTTCAAATAAAACACCTCTGGTTTTCATCCGACTGACAATTTGCTCTCGAGGTGAATGCGCTGTAAGCGGGGGTACTCGCCTTCTCTTCCTTGGGGTTGGACCAGAGAGGCAGTTCTGAGAATAAAGAGGTTTCCGTTATTGGGGGGAATCGGATGTTAGTCTCACTTAGCCCCTCTACCTGGATGTCTCCATCGGGGACAGCAGTGTTTGTTTCATATTCCTCACTGCTGATGGTCTGCTGATTGTGCCACGGTACATGTTAAGTGCATGGTTAGAATGACAGATTTTAAAATGAGGACCACGTGAGTCACCCTAGAGATTGACAGAAAGAGAGACAAGGGACGTAAGTCTGGTGGGGGATGCCCAGGTGTGTGCTTGCTTCTCCTCGGAAAGGAGCCCACACACTGGGCAGCATCCTTTCCGGGGTCCCCTGAGTGCTGTTCTGGCTGCTAAACCCAGGGTCACGGTAGTGTAACAGCCGCTAGCAAATTGCTGCTCAAGACCCTAGAAGCACATTTTGCTTTTCCCCCTCTTGGTCAAGATACCCACCCTTTCTTTTGTTACTGACAAATCTCTTCATTGAAACCTTTGAAAAGAGCTTCCCATCCCAGGCTTAGGATGTCGCAGTGTTGCTGAGTGGAATCCATCATCAGGAGTGAGAGGCATTCAATTTCCACAGTCACTCGGTGTCCGGCCTTCTCTTTATAGGTTTCATCATGAAATAGCAAGGTTGTCTTCATCTGCAATTGTTTGGACATGTGGGGGGTGTGGCATAAAAATCCGAGGGCAAGCCCTGAAGTGTGGCATTCAGTGTAGCAGGAAGGACTGGGAACCACACACAAATGTAAACACACAGGGGGCTGCCTCCAAAGAAAGTACAGTGAAAAGAAGGTACAACACAACGATAATTGAGCGAGTCGCAGGCTGGAGGTATATTTCCCCAAGAAATAAAGTAAAATCTGCCTTGAGGGCTCCATCCTTGATGGAGTTGGTGAGGGTGAGGGAGCGCGGAGAGGTGGCCTCTAACTCACGTGGACTAGTTATAGGATCTTCTAAGTTTCTCCTTGCTTTAAGAGAAAGTCACCGTCTTAGGAAATGCCATCTTCTTTTTTCTCACACTCATGCCATGCCATCTGAAAGCTATCTGGCTGCACCGTGTTTTCTTCATCAACAGTTTCAGTTCTGCAAAAACCCTAACAAAACAGAAAGCTATTTCTGGGAATAAAGTAATGGTAGATAAGATATCGAGACATATATTGGGACTGGGGTGGCAGTGGGGTGTTATTCAAGGGGTGAAGTGTATGGAGAATTTGTTAAGCTAGAAAAACAGACTATGTTTAAAATGTTTAAAAAAGCCTAGCTCACCTTGAAAAACCCCTCAGCAGATTTCGTATGTTTCCCATATGTGTGTTTATGTCTGACTTTTTCACCTCAAAAACCCCAAGCCAAACACCAAAAATATAACTCCTCCTTAAGTTAGAGTTGCTCAGAATATGTGTGATGTTTGGTAAAGTTCAAGAAAAGTGAAGTTGAAGGTTTTGCCTCTGGGTGACCTTTCACAGGACGTCTCTGGTTGATCCAGAAATGAAATCTAGGGTGTATGTGTCTGCCCTTAATTAAGAAATTCACCAGGAAACTTTAGGATGTATGTTTAAACAGAAATCTTCCAAAGGCCCTAGTTGCTGGTAGAGGATGCCTCAGGGAAGTTATTGTGATTCCATTCGGAAATTACAAAAATATGTATATATTCATTTAAAATCGAAACTTCCGCTACAGCTGCCAAACTTCCCAGGTTATGAGCAGACGAGAAGCTTCAGTTTGGTTACAGGGCTGGGGGACTCCCCTGCTTCCCTTGGCATATTTGATGGAGTATAAAATGTTAGAGAACTCTTTCCAATACGTGAACACCCCTTTCGTTTTATTTAAATCTGTGATTTTTCTTTTGCTCCATTTTTGTTTTCACAACGGCATCTTACCGATCTCCTCCCGCCCCCTCTTATTTTTGGACCGTGTGTGTCCCAATTTACTTTGCCCTGTTAAGCACAACTTCTTTTAGTTCCTGTGGTTTATGTATGGACTGCAAGTCAAACTAGTTGGTATTTGTCGGTCTGAGATGCAAGTTGCACTGCTCTCCCCGGTGTACACCATAGTTGGTTTCTTGCCATTAGTTGGCACGTTTTTAACTTAAAACTAATCCTTCCCATCCCATCCAGTTGTTTTAATTGATCTAACAAATGCCGCCTGTTTGAATTTAAACAGTGGGTGTCCTGGGTCTCCCCTCCCCCTTTCCTTGTCAGTTGAGTAAGAATCTTCGATTAAACCGTACTTCCTTAAATGCAGGTTATTCTTTGCATGAGCCTTGAGATGCTTCAGAAGGAAAGAAATTATTGGTTCTAAGATGGAGCGTAAGGGGACAAGGAGATAACTGTTGGTGGCAGATCATTCCCTGCGATGAAGGGAAAAATGAAACACTGGAGGTTTTTGGTGGTGGTAGCTGTGTCATGAGATAGGTAGGTGATAGACAAATCTTGCTTGCAGATTTATTAACTAAAATCTCGAACTTATAAGCCATCATTTTGGGCTCACCTCTCATTGGATCTGAGTGTGGAATCCTACTTTGATTAGAAGATGGGGATATTGCCAGAGAAGAGGGAAGGTGGTTTTAATGTATTGGTGACATTAATTATGGGACCGGAAGAGTAATTTTTGAGAGAGGAGTCTTTAACGCCATTCTCTTAGACATATTGTTTCATTCCCTTGGTCTTGCCTCCCCTCTTTACTGGAACAAACAACTAGTACAGAGAGGGAAAAAAAAAAAAAAAAAAAGGACACCTATTGAGCCGAGGGCAAAGGAAAAGCCCGATTTTAAACCTTTCCCGCGTTTTGTTACAAATCCCTGATGCTGGCGATCTGAAAGCCAGCTGCACGGAGTGTCTAGAGAGGGAACCAGCACCCAGACGCCCCGAACCCGCCCCCTCGCGATGTCAGCCCTCAGTTCCAGGCTTTCATTGTCTTTTCCCCCCCCTCCCCTCTTGCTGCCCTTCTTTTTAACAGCAGGAACGGATTTCATATACACCCCCCGAGAGCCCGGTGCCCAGTTACACTTCCTCGACGCCGCTTCATGTGCCAGTGCCCCGAGCGCTCAGGATGGAGGAAGACTCGATCCGCCTGCCCGCGCACCTGCGTGAGTGTTCGCGCGCCCCGGGATGGACGGGGTGGGGGGGGGGGTTTGGACGGGACGGACGGACCGACAGCTGGACAGAAGGATCGACCGCTGTGGGGGGGTGGGTGGTGGTGGCAGGGAGGCGGGGCTGCAAGCCGGGCAGGGGCGCGCCCTGAGATGGTTTTCCCACGACCTCCCGAAGCTGCTTTGGCATCGTTCGCCCCCTCCCACCTGCAAATGGCTTTGAAAAGCTTGAGCTTCCTGGCTGTCGTTTCTCTGCGTGTTCATTTCGTCTCTTGACTATGACATACTACCCGCTGCAGCTCAGCAGGGCGTCGGGGCCTCCACACTTGTGCTGCTGGGGCCAGGCTTCAAAGCACCCAGCACCTGTCCTTTCCTTTCTGTCTTTCTTTCTTGAGCTGCCACCCAGCCCCGATGACCCGGCATGCCGAGCGCAGCCGGGGAGAATGCGTCACCTGATTGCCACCCTGGTCGCGGTGTCCAAGAAAATGCCAGGTTCTCTGGCTTGACTGTTAGCCTCAGGGCACGAGTCCAGGTTATGGAGGACACGTCACGGCGGGAGCTGGTGGGGGGGGGGGGTCACCTTGGCCCTTCCCTAGTTGATTCCTCATGACTTGAGTGGTGGCCCAGTTGTACTTGCCGTCTTTTTCGGGCGTGCTTCTGCTTCCCAGATTATTCTGCTCCGCCTGGCCCATCCCTCCTCAGAAAGCAGAAGGTTGCCTGCTGAGCGTGGGGAACAGCAAGAGAGGATGCAGGCTTCTCTTTCCTCTCTCTGTGCTCATTCAGCAGATCACATAACTGTGATGCTGGGAGGTACTCGGCGTGCATTGCTGGCGTACCCCTTCTCCCCGACAGTGAGGATGGTGGCTGGGATCCTTGAAGGGGAGTTGGGGGCCATGAGAACCCTTCCCCTCCTCCAGCTTGCTGCGTCCATCAGCGTTTACAAAGTTGGTATATACTAGGGTCAGCACACTCCAGCTTCAGTCTACCCTCTTCTCCACACTGAACTTTTAAAGAACAGATTGGGACTGTGAAGGTGCCGTGGTCACGATCGAGGGCTGCACTCAGCAAAATGGAGTTTTGTGGCACCAGTGAGCGTTGTGAGCAGACAGCCTGGGAGAGGGACCACTAACAGCCTTTTCTCCCTCCCCACGCTGTTCCATGACCAAGCTATTCACTTCAGGACCGTTCACTTTGGGGTGGAACATACTCAGGCCATGCAGAGAAAGCACTCCTGCTACCTAATCTCCTTCATTTATTCGTTTGACAAATAGTTACTGATTAACTGGTATTGGTAACAAATAGTTACCTATTATTGGTAACAAATAGTTACCTGCACTGTGCCAGGCACTCTTCTGGTTGCCAGGATACAGAAATGAGCAAAGCAGACCCAACTCCTTGCCCTTATGGAGCCTGAAGTCTCCATAAAGAGAGAAAAAGAAATAATAAACTCCTGTCCCCAGTAGGCTGAGGTTTCATGGCTTTTTCTTCCTGTACTTTGACACAGCCCATCCCCCAGCCTCCGGAAAGACCCTAACTCCTGGTTTGTCTCTGGACTTCACATATGTAAGCTCTTTGACCACAGAACTGCCTCTCCATAAAAAGTTACCACGGTAAAACGCACTAACAAACACAACGAACTGACCATCAGCAGGTTGTAATTCTTAACTAGTTCTGCTGTTCGACTAGCTGTTCGACTGTGAGTCAGTCCTCCTAACACTCAATTTTCCTACCATACAAAATTGTGATTGGACAGGAGAATGTTCAACAGTCCCCTTAACTTGAAAAGATTATGATCTCACCTAAGACATCATTTTCCCTACTTGGAACTGTTTCTTCCATACCAACACTTTACTTTTTTTCTTGGGTTGACAGTTTCCTAATGGAGTCACAGCGGTGCTGCTCACCACTGTCTTGTCGGGCCCTGCCATGTGCCTAGCACACAGTCAGAGTAGCTAATAGCTATTGTGGGATGCCTCTGTACCAGGCACTATGTGAAGTCCTTTATGGAAATTATTTTATTTAATTCTCACAGCGATCCTTGTAGGTATTTTTGTTATATCCATGTCACACATAAGGAATTTAGGGCTTAGAGAATTTAAGTAACCTGCCAAGGTCACACAGTCAGTAGGAGATAGAGTCAGGGTTCAAACTCAGTTCCGTCTGACTCCAGAGCCTGGGCTTTTATCTGTTAGGCCATGATGTAAGTGTGTTTAATAGGTACTTCTTGGATGGATGGATGAATTCAGGGTTGACAGTTAGCCACTATTCACTAATGTGGCCAGAGGGTTGGTTTCTGGCTGGACTCTGTTCTAACTGGTGGATCAGTTGTTGAATAGTTCGCATATCTCCCTTGGACGGATGGATGGGTGGGTGGATGGATGCCCCCGTAGAGAATTATCAGATATAGAACTATAGCACATTACTGCTGGCCTTAGAACAGTCAGTTGTTAGGTTAGGGATTCAGGTCATGGTGATGATTTTGTCTGAATGCTCCTGTCTGGCAGCCTGACTTTAGAGCCCTCCTTGCAATCTGCATCAGCCCCATGGTAACACCATTTGTTCCCACATCTGGAATGAATCCTCTGAAAGTGGAGGTTCCCAGGCTCTTGCTGTCTGTCTTCAGCTGGGACTTTCCACAGGAGACTGAGCTGCCCGCCTCCCTGTCCTGTTCCAGCACTAGGCTGCCCATTGTGCTGTTTGAGAAACATCTCCTGGAGTGCCTAGGACGGTTGAGGCCATGTCGTATACTTGAGGATGCATCCCAGCTGGGTTTCCAAACCGAAAAGAAAATAAATATTCTAACGAGGGAATTGGGTTATTGCTGTTTGAATCTGGGATTCCAGACAATTCCCAGCGGAATGCTCGTGGAAAGTACGGGGAAGAATCCGAAAGCCAAGACAGCGGCAGGACATTTATGGTATTGCTGGGTTGAAAGCATTTTTAGCCGCTTGTTTTAAAGAGATACTCACCAGACTGGTATGCCTCCAAGTGGCTTCTTTTCGCCCTCTGTCCTCATTGATCTCCACATAAACCCATTCTCTCTTAACCCTTTCTTTTTCTCCTTTCCTTCTTAAATCAATAGATAGCCTTTCCTGGTTAGGGCGGAAGGCAGGGATCATAATATTTAAGGTTCTCGTACTGCAGGTTCCTCACCGTTTTGTTCTGCAAACACAGGGCAAGCTGAAGACACAGTGTGACAACTTAGGAAGCTGTTGAGATGTAGAAAGTAATGGCTTTTCCTCTTCCTTGCCTCTGATTAAAAACAAAAAAAAAACCAAAGTGATAACTGGGGCAAGCCCGAAGCGGTGATTCTAGAGGACTTGAAAAGGACAGGCAGGGGCAGTCTGGGCCAAGGGGAGGAGGGCCAGCCCCGTACCATCCTGGCCAGGCCTCCTCCCTGCCCTCCCACCCACCAGATCCTGCGGCATCTTCCTGGAACTTCCTTGTTGCACCAGGAGAGCAGACTCAAGTTTGTTTATTGAGAAGATAGAAAGGTTTTTTTCCCCCTTCCTTCCATGTAGGGTACTAAATTTTCTTTTTAAAGCTTGAGGCTAGAAGAGCTGAAGTGTGATAATTACAGCAGGTAGGTGAAAATGAAAAGTTCCATTCTTTGAATTTATTAATTAATTAATTTATTTTTTGGCTGCGTGCGGCGTGTGGGATCTTATTTCCCCCACCAGTGATCGAACCCGCGCTGCCTGCTTTGGAAGCATGGAGTCCTAGCTACTGGACCGCCAGGGAAGTCCAGAAAAGTTCCATTCTTTAAAGGGAAAATAAACCTTTCATGGTACCTTGAGAACATTTACAGGACCGTGGAGCCCCGAGAGTGCCTGGAGGAGATCACTCTTGATCCTCTGAGCGGTGAACGGCCTCCTAGTGTGAAGGAGAGACTCTCTCTAGTTTGTCTGCCCAGGGACCACTTTTTCTAAATAATGGCCGGTGGGTGCCAAGGGGGTAGCAAAATGTGCCTTATGAGCTGATGCCAGCCCTGCGAAATACTCAGCCTCAAGTCGTGATGTCCCGGGCCGCCCACGTGACCACAGTGCGTGTATTTCAGATGCATGGGGCAGAATTTAAATCGCTGAACGCCTTTTCCTTATTAAATTGCTTTTAACAGAATCATCTCGCATTTAGTCGACAGAATTGCTTCTAATCACAGGCTGACGTGATGCCGCCTGTCTAAAGCCTTTGCCGTTTGCGGTGCCAGTTTGCTCTTCTAAAATTCCCGGGAATTGATATTTAAAAATCGGAACCCAGGACTCATTCATCACATTTAATAGGGTTACGGTTTATGACGTTGCGGGTTCATAAATAGCCGTAATAGCTGCACAGGGTTGTCTGGAATCGGGACTCCAGAAATAGCCCCCTGGCTCTCCTTCCTTTCCTTGTGCATCTTTCAGAATTCTTACATTACTGCTCCTGCTTGTGTGTTTAATAATTTAATTTAATGCCTTCCTTTGGAAACGTTACCTCGTGGCTCACCCCCTTGGGCGATTTTGCAGTCTCAGCAGAGTGACCGAGTGTAAGACAGTTCGCTCGGTTAGAGCCAGGAGATTGAAAAGAGATGCAGCGCTTCTCTTTGCTACTGAGTGGAGCAGCCAACAATTTTATACACGTTCAAGTTCTTTCCGTTCCCAAAGAAGAGGCAAAAAATGGGAATTAAGGATAATCTTAGTTAGTGTTCTGTATTAGTATAAGTAACAAAATGTGTTCATATATGTGGTTTCATTTAATCGTGCGGCAGCCCTGGGTGTCACTAACCCTATTTTACTGATGAGATGACCATGGCTCAGGTAGTTACACTGAATTGTCCACATTCACGTGGCACGTGAAGAATCTAACATGATTTCTATTTCAGAAGTCACCATTTCCCCTTCCTAGGAGAAAACACAATGGCAGAGCCTCTCGGACTTGAAAGCGGAGGCAGTGCTGACTGTTGGCGTCTGGGTAGCCGTGGATGCGGGGACTGGGAACAGCTAGGGCTCCAGTAATGCGCT